CGAATCCTAATAAGTTTGAGTTCTGATCGAATTTTCCCCATAAGAAATAATGGAAGACCAATTAATTGGTTCCCGGCCCCAAAAAATTACACCTAAATGTGTTTTTTTTTTTGCATTTAAACACAAAATGAACTGGATAAAACAAGAGCATATACTGTACTAAACACATCTAAGCACATTTATCAAAACAGTAAAATAAGAAAATAAATGCATCCGAACAATGTGCAAAAGTAAAAAAAAAAAAAAAAAAAAAAAAAAAGATCGTCCACTCTTACGTGTGCCACGCCGACTAGTTAACCTCGTGTGGAATCCCCGTGTGATCAGCTGTTTTTGGTTGTTGTCATTAGTCCTCTTTATTTAGTCCACGTTTGTTTGTTTCCCCAGTCCGGTTATTGTATTATCCGTCTGCGTTTTGCATCACGTCTGCTCCTTTGTCTCCGTTCCATCCCCGCTCGGCACGACAATATTAACTTTAATTAAACTGTATTAATGGTTTATTATTAATATAAAAATTTTAAATGTATTTTATTATATAATAATTTACTGTCTCATGGTCTAAATGTTTTTTTACTGTCTAAATATATGTATTCAGCTAATGTAAACATGCGCGATGCTATCACAGCGAATGCGAGGCTCAGACTGAGACTGAAGTGTTACCCTTTGTTTTCGCTGAGAGACATGCCGCGTGACTCATTTCCCCGTGCGTACAAGTTCTCTTAGGTCGGCGTTCACGGTTTGACTTCTGAGATTCAGATCGAGTTCTAGGTAATTTTTTTTCCCCGAACTGGTTGGTTCGACTTCGAAATTCGAGTTCGAATGAGTTCAAGAACTGAGGTACCACTGTGTGCTAATTTAGTGAATATGTTTTACTTTTTAATTTGCTACCATACATATGTAATAGGTCATTTTGTTTAATGTGTATAATTACACAAAATCTGTTTATTTTGAAACACCCGGTAACAGTAATAGAAAAATCACACGACACAAATAAACCGGTTACATATACCATACAAGGACAAGTATTCAGATTTTAACTGAAGCTCTGGAGAAAAAAAAATGCTTTATTTTTTATAAATAGGCTGTTGTATAATTATGTAAAAAAATTCTCATGGTGTTACCAATACAGGACAAATCCATATCGTGGCACACAAATCACACCAGTAATAACATACCAGTGTACCGCTCACCCCTTCCAAGAATCACATCTCATCTTTACCCAGGGGCCTTTCAATGCTCTCTGAGGGTCAAGGGTCAAGGGGGGGGGCATGTTTCCTCCCCATCTATGAAAGTAAACACCTAATTATATGACATCATTATTATTATTATTTTTTTGTGAGTTATGACTTTTTTTTTTTTTAATCTGCAGACACCTTAGTACTAATGGTGTCAGATACGCCCCGCTACAGAGGGCAGCAGAAAGTCTCCAGCCCGCAAGCAAGTTTACCAGTCCAAGATATGGTGTTCATTCAGTTTTTTCCCTTATATGGTAGTAGGCGACAAAGCCACTGACTTCGAGTTTATCACCACCTCTGCTGTGTAACAGCTGATGCTGATGCTACTATTCTAAGTCACAGCTTTCTTGTTTGTCAGAGTTCTGCACACAACCTAACTTGACTCTAGTTCCATTCATAATGACAACACACTATGTTGACATTTGAGAATGAATCCCCAGAGGTTTATGCCACATCTATAATAAATCAATCAATGCCATCATAATGGTGTCATGATAGAGACTCAAAAGCCTTCATACAGTTTATAAAGATATCTATGGATTACGGACCAAAGGGACTGAAAAGCAAATAGCCTTTCATACCTGCCTAAGTCTTTCATACAACCTAATTCTTCAACATTAAACCCATGCTTTCTGCACAAAAAAAATCATTTTAAATAAGATGCCAATATGCCTCATTAGGTCGGCACCACAACATGCAGGCACCACGAACAGTCTTCAGACAATAGTGTCCAATTCAGCACAGACTCACTTTTTATTTGAACCCTCATTTGTTACGCACCATCTTTCTTACGCCATATTGCTCAGTAATCAAGGCGACAAATTTTAATCAATGCTTTTAAAAATGTCAAGTGATCATGACAGCTCTAGTATCAAGAAAATACTTGCACACCTGCATTGTTCACACAACAGGATATCATAATAGACTGTGTATCACATACAAGCAAGGCATGTACTGCCAAGCAACAGAGAGGAACATCATAAATGACTACTCAAAGCACCTGTGCAGAGACAGACAAGCAAAAAATTATTTATTAATGCATTACATGTGATCGAGTTACAAAATTAATTCCATCTGTTCACTTTTTGCACAACTTCTACTGGTTTTCCACAGCACTTCTCTATAACCTCCATGTTAGCGTTGGTGCTTGGGGTCAACCAATCAATAAAATTTATTGCTGTAAGACCCACCCAATAGTTCTTGGTCAAGCAAAAAATACTTATTTCGGAAAAAAGGGGCTCAGGCACTACACCGGAGGAACTACAATAGGGCAGAGTTCCTGAGGTGGGGATGTAACAGAAGTTTTCCTGGTTCCGGAAAATGGTTCATGCAGCGGGAAAGTGCCTTATATTCAGATTCGAACATTTTTTTCATGGCATTTTGCTGACAGAATTTACTGCAGTGGTGATGTGTTGCCATTCAACAACTAAGACTTAACACCATCACTGCATACAGTATAAATGCTCTGACAACAAAATACAATTAGCCATCTAATTCAAAAGTGCACAAGTACTAGACACAGCTGTAGCCAATAAATTCCTAGAAAATGTATGACTACACATTCTTGTTTGTGAAATGTGCCCTCAAATATAACATTTTCTAGTGCCTCTACCACACTATTCCTCCTCTCTCTCTCTCTTTTTGATTTACAGTTGCTATTGTTGGGCTTTACAACCAGAAATGCTTGATTTGCATATTACATGATCATGCAGCTCATTTGCACTGATCATTCATGGGAGAAAGTGGGCAGTATTTCAGGCTCATGCACAAAAACACATTTAAAAAATTGTTTGTGCGTACACCAAGTTGGGGGAAAAAAATTCAGATTGTGTGTACACATTTTTTCTTGATGAAATTTTGATACATGAGGCCGCAGTTCTTGAACACACCACACTGTCTGTGAGCGAGTCCAACAGCAAGGACAAAAATGATTAACAGGCAGACAGCACATGCAGAGCTCATCCAAAAGCAGCAGCAAACTTTAAACTTTTAACATACTAGATAATATTAAAAAACGGAACAATCATTAAAACTGCAAAACTAGGTTTTGCTACCTATGACAAAGTAAAAATGTTGTAGCAAGTCTTATTGATGATCTTCTAACAGGAGGTCCTAAGGCAAGTGCACCAAGATGCTGCAAGATACTTGATGACCAATTCAGAACCTCCTAGATCAGTGCACTGAGTCTGACAGGCAACGCAACACTATCCACAGGGTTCAGGCTCTTCATGGGGTTCATTTTCCAGAGGAACACAGTAAATATTTCATCAGCCTACAACATTAAATGCTGTTTAATCTGACGATGAATTGCATTTCATCCAGAGAGACTCACAAACGGTACAAGAAAAGTTTTCCAGTTACAATAATTGGGACAAATTGAAATTTAATCCCTCAACCACAGCCAATTAGAAGCTGAATCACTGATGGAAGGCAGGGTGAAAAAGCAGAGCTTGGCTCCTTGACCAGGCTGTCCATCCTCTAAACGCTTATCCTGTTTAGGGCCTAGTTAAGTCTTTAGACTGCAGGAAGAAACTAGAAAAGCTGCACACACACACACACACACACACACACACACAAATGCAAACTTCACACACACAGACTAGAAGCAGGTCTAGACTTTGTAGATTCTTAATATCTGAATCTATAAAGACTGACCACATATGCATAACAAACAGGTTTAATTCCAAATTGACAAAGATCTGCTAAACTTAAAACCTAAATAAAAAATACTGCATTCATATTGCTCATAATCATCTCTGGCAGAAATGTAAATAATTCTCCTGAAGAAATTCCATTCATTCCCTTCAAAAACAAGAACTTGGACTACCAAACTTCTAACCATAAATCTAGATACCTACAGCTAGGTCTGTCACACTTATTAAAATACATACGCATTTGCGCTGCTACAAGAAATTTTTGCAACCAAAAATGACAAGCAAAGAAAATAGATTTTAACGGAATCATTAACAGGAGGAGTCTGCATCATGTTTCACAAAGCCAGGTTTCTTGCTTAACCAGATAACTTGTCAGATGTGAAGTAACCTGTAGTTTAAATAAATTTTTATCTTTGTACACTTATATTTACCCCAGACTACCTTAATTCCAATAAGTTATTCAGCTTAGTTTGCTGTAAACGTAGACAATCTGATTTGCTGTAAAAGGGCAGGATGAGTGGATAGAGCAGTGCAGATGTGTAAGATCGGTCAGATGGTACGGGATATGTTTATCTCCAGGCGTTCAACTTATTTGTTATTGTCATAAAGGCCTCTATTTTTGTTTACAAAGCTTAATAGGCAAATGCATTTATGTTCAATAAATATTCAATATTTAGTTCTTATATGGTGTATATGTAATATTCAACTATGGTTAGGCTAACTAAGCTGATAGTGTTATAAAATGAACAGAAAACACACAAATCACAATTATTTGTATGACAATCATCAACCGAAATGCAGCGCTGTATCTCTTATGTAGAAGGATAGCACATTGTTCTGGTCAAATCTGCGCAATAAACATCATAATGACAGAAGCCAGTGAAGGCCACAGGGCATGCTGGATTTCACAATATCCCAGGACTGTACTGAATCTCTAAAAAAAAAAAATAATAATAATAATCATAATCTTACCTGGTGTTTCAGAAGGATAAACAATTTAAAAGTAACCTTAAAGTGCATTTCATCTGCCATCCTCTGATCAATGAAAACCCATTCAATAAAATGGCCACATCCCGTAATAAAGAGTGCAGAGGGTGGGGGAGCTGCAACTCACCTGGGGCAGAGCCGTATTGAGCTGCCTCTGTAGTGCATCACGCTCATGGCTGACCTCATGCAGCTTGCTTTGAGTCAGCCCAAGGTTCTCCTGGCTCTCACGCAGCGTCTCCAGCAGCCGGTCCCGCTCCTCCAGCATTGACACCATGAGAGACTCAAAGTGTCCATCAGAGTCTGACTGCAGTGGAGAGCCTGAACCACAGCTGCCACCACCCCCCGGTGGGATCTCTGCCTCGCTGATTGTGGGCATCACCTCGCACATCATCTAGGAAAGAGAATAACCTTTCATCAGTTGTCACACTAATTTCTGACCAAATTCAACTGCCTAATCATGACAGCTCTAGTTTTTACCAAATGCTGTGTCCTGGTCATGACTTGTAATGCTGAAACTACATCTACAGTTTTGGGCCGAACATAAGATGGGTTTCCTTTTTTTCCTCAAAATATGTCTGAAAAAGTGAAAGTTGGCAACTCTGGCAATGTATCCCTGAGTGTTGTGTAAATTTGGTTGGCTTCCCTGGCTGTGCTACTGCTAGTATTAAACTGATTTGACTACTAGTAAAGATAGTAACATGCAGTTTAAAAGAGCTGTCATATAGCCTCTTATTATGGCTCAACCTTTTACCTACTTAATGTGGGTCTAATGCATGAAAAACATTCTGTACCTTCAAGTGTGCCGGAGTCCAGTTTGCATAAAGTAGCAATGTGTGGCTACAGTGCTACCAAACACATCAGACTTGAACGATGTGCAATATTAATAACATGGCATTTCACACGTGCGCAATTGTAACGCAAGGACCGCGATAGTCTGCTGGGATCAAATCAACAGTAAGTTGCATTAAAATATTGTCACTCAGTCACTGGACACTGAATTGGCAAGCAATTTTAATGATTTGTCAGCATTGTTTTGTGTGTGCTGGGACAATTCAGGGCAACACCAACAACTTTTCTGACAAACAGTGTTAAGTTCTATTTGGCTATATAGTAAATTTTCTGATTCCTAAATATTGAAAAAACTTAAAGTACTGCAATGTGAACTTCTCAGTATGATTCAGCCCTAAACCACACAATACAGTATCAAAATTATTATATATAGAGATGCATCAATTGTAATTTTCTTGCCCGATTCTGATTTCAGATTTTTTTTTTTTGCAAGTGCGTCTGCCAATACTGATTTATCCCCGATCCCAATTTTCTTTCCAAGAACAATTAACAGCATATACAAACAAAAGTCAACTTTAATGAAAATTTTTTGTATTGTATTTACAACTTCCCCCAAACTGTACCAAGTTACTGAATTTTCTCTCACTTAAACAAGTCTCAAAATAAAGTGTTCCAAGTTCTGTTCTGGAAAGAGGTACAAATAATTAACTGAAAATGAGTTGCTGTATATCCAACTTTACCTGACATATATTTTA